TATATATATATATATATATATATATATGTGTATATACATATATGTGTATATATATATATGTTTTTTTTTGGGGAGTGTGGTTTTTTTTTTTTGTGTTTCTTTCTGAATCAACTATTTTTACTGCAGGAGGAGAAATGGGGGATTCCCAATGCCCCCACTGTTGTTCATTCTGGATGAATGTCACCACTGTATAATTTGCCTAAACAAGATTTAGTTTAATTGGAATGAGAGCAAGAAAACGTTTGTGATGTAAAATGTGCAGCAGGAAAGCAATTGATACAAGATATAGCTTCTATATATAGCTTCTATAGATATATATTCAAAGACAAAGTATACGATATAAAAAGAATACCACTTCGATCTTTTCTAAGAATGTATTTTGATTATGTAAATGAGCACTATGATTCTGCTTGATTTAAAAAGAACAAAAAAAGGCCTGTTCTACGGTGTCTCTCATATCCTTTAGGTATGGGGGTAAAACAGCAGCGGCATTATATACATGCATGGTGATCTTCTTCCTGTTCATATTTTAAACAGCTCTATTTACCAGCACTGTCAGTCAGTGAGACTGTATTGTGAGGTTCTCCAGCCTTTCTCACAGGGCTTTTGGATGGTAAAAAAAAACATTCTTGAAGGAGTTTCTTTTTCTGTGTTTGCATATTGCTGCTGCTATGAACAACTCTGATCCGATCAGCCTCTGCTATAATGACCTTTGTTGTAATTGATTGAGGATATTCCATTTTAATGCATCAACTGCAAGGACTTTGCATTTACTAACAAATAAAGAGAAACATTTACAGAATATGTCAACACATTTGCTTGGTTTTGTTGTTCTTGTTTGTATAAGAAAGAAGCCTATAAGGTTTATTCCTGCAGCAGGGCTCGTTTAAGATCCAAGCGTGTTTCAGTTTTAAGGTCAGATTTCGATGTTGATAAAAAGGTTTTTTTTAAATCCCCCCCCTGACAAACACAGTTGCGGCAAACAAACCATTTGCCAACCCTCCCCCTTCCTGCCTCTGTAAGTGTCTGTTGTCTAGTCGGCACTCTCGGCGCCATGGAAACATGTCAACATACCAAGACATCCAAACTTTACACAAGGACTCTGATTGGTGATCTGCTATCGGGGAGAGAAGCAGCGGCCTTTCTAATGAACCCAAAGAGTTTGACCCTCCCATTGAGCATGATAGGTTGCATGAACACATACCATGCTGCTCAAGTGCAGTGCAGTGATTTCCCTCAGAGCGCATACATCGAGTCTGAAAACAAAGCAACACATTTGTAAAAGGCAGGAAAGTATATTTTGCTCAGCGTCACCATTACTCAGCGTCACAGTCCCCGGTGCATGGGAAGAAGTTGGCCATGGACACGCTGCTGCCTTCTGTGCTGGAGGACGGTGACGCAGGAAGTGAGAAGCTGCAGCTGGGAGAGGTAGGAAGCTGACCGTCCGGCCAAGTTCTGCAAACGCTTGAGCAAGGGAAGTGTGAACAATCAGGTAGGCAGCTGGAGTCTTGTCGGACTTGTCGGGCAGATTTTTCGATTTTCATGAAGTCTGACATTGACTAAGATGTAGGAGAGGGACTTGGTAAGAATCCAAAGTATGTTCTTGACCTGCAAGAGTATATTAAGAGACATCAAGACATAACACCATCTCTAGACACATCTCAGCACTTTCCTTGAGAAAGGGAAAAAAAAGTCCAAAGACCTATTTTCTTTTCATAGATCGCTCTTTTGACCTGTGTACGTGCATGAATTTATTAAATAGAGGGGACTCAGAGTGTCACCCTGAAAGTCTTTCCTCAATTACTCTTTTATTTAGTCTAATCAGGGCTGCACGCTCTACAGTAAGTGTCAGGAATACAGCAGTCCTGAAAATAACAATAAATGGCATTGCCGACTGAGAAATGAAGAGAACATGCCATAGGCCTAGAAATAAAGGGGAGTGAGAGACGGCAAACGCTGGAGAAAGATGTTAAAGGGAGGTGTGAAGAAAGGAGTAGGAGGGAAAGTAAGTAGTTACAAAGACCGGGAGGACTGAGGGATGCGAGCTCAAAGAGACACATTGATGGACTCGCTTGTCCAACGTGTAGGTTATCTGTTTTATTCTCCTGGTAGCAAATCCATCCAATCTCCTCGCTCCGGCTGCCAGCAACCGCCAGCTTTGAGGAGTCACGATGTCTTACTTTCTCATTCTCCATCCAGCGAAGAGTGAGCCGGACAGGGGTCGATGTGCGTGGGCCAAAGGACCAACGCTCGAGTCCTGACGGGAATGTGCTCGACGGAGGTGAAAGCGGGGTTGAAGAGGAGGAGGAGGAGGAGGAAGAGAATGAAGAGGAGGAGCTCGGAGGAGAAGAGCGTGTGCTCTCTGATGAGAACTACGACACAGACTTGGAGCTCGGAGGTAAAAAGGAGAGATAATAAAAAAGGGTGGGGAAGTTATCAAATTCGATGACGAAGGATGTGATGCTCCCTCTTATGTTTGAAATTGAATCAGTTGATTCTGTTCTTTTCTGTCTGAAATAATATTCCATACCAGGCTCCAGCAGTGGTTTTTTTTTTTAGTACTTTGACATTGAATCCTAATTTGATCTCGAGCAGAACATGCATACAGGACATGCATCCTGTCGCCCCACGTGTTAATCGTTTCCATCTTCTCAATCTCTAAGTGATTTCAGAAAAAAAAGAAAAAAACAGTAACTCCTACGCACGCCTGCCCACACATGTGAAGCCCTGTTCTGCATCTTAATGATTTCATCCAGGTCTTTTGTGTCGGGCTTCCTTTTCACCAGAAGTGAAAACCATCTGGTATGAATGAGCTCCCCCTGACAGGGTGAAATCAGCCACGAGGGAGTTTTCAATATCACACTCAAAAGGTCCTCCCCGGGGGGAGATTGGCCACATCTCTCCTTTTACAAAGATGTATTGATGGCGAACAATTCAGACAGCTATTGTCTTTATTCATATTGCAGATGATGAGGAGGAGGCGTGTGACCCCGCGGGGCAGACGTGCTACATGGAGGCGTGTGAAGCGTTACAGGTGACACCTGTCTCTTACTTCCTGCAGCACATGCAAAACAGCGAGCTGTCCATGATGCATCGTGGTCTGGGGCCTCAGGTACTTTAATCAAGAGTTCGGGATTGTATGAAAATGAGTAGAGGGTGAGGATTGGGGGAGTGTTGTGTATTTTTTCTTTTTGCTGAAGGGAGGTACATGTAGTCTGACATTTGGGGAAGAGCAGGGGAGGGTCTTTATTTATTTATCTATTTTCACTCCAAATGTGTAATTTATTATTGATTCATTCTATAATTTTTTTTTACTTGGAATCCAGGTACGGGAAAAAAAACATATCAGTGTCCATCAGCTGAGCCGCTCTCTGTGGCCAGGTCAGTCATTCAGTAGTAATAGCAGTTTATTTACACTCACTGTCACATTTGTGTCAGTGAAAAAGCACAAAAAATTATACCACGATCTGCTCGGCGCCGCACAACAGAAAGATAAAGTTAGCAACTACCTGGTGAACACACTGAACAGCTCCCAGAATTACAATTTGAAGGAAGAAATTGAGTCAATGTTGACTTTTGGTTCCATGCGGCACAGAGCAGCCTCCTGTGTGCAAGTCCTGTGTTGACCCACCCAACCACTCTGACCTCCTTACACGCTTCTCCCCGCCGACCAAGATTAGAAGCATATATGTCACAAACAAATGCTACCTGGGAGAAAATAAGTTTCCCCTGAAACGTAATTGGCAATTTAGTTCCACTATGTGACCTCAATTTTCAGGTTGACTTTTGCCAGGTGGCGAGAAACCTGACTCCAAAAGTAATTATAAAGTTGCTCTGTAACTGTTGGATTTGTAAAATAGCCAAGTGTCTGATAAATTCACCTTATCACTAAGGTGATTACATGCCAATGTTGTGCTCACATGTTGTTTCTGCTGCCCCCAAGTGGCCCTCCGCTTCACCTGGGCGAACGTATTCCAATTCAACCTGCCTTCTTGAAAAAGATCTACAAATATTTGATCTCTCTCTCTCTCTCTCTCTCTCTCTCTCTCTCTCTCTCTCTAAAACACTGTTTTAGACCAGCCCAGACCTATATGTTCAGTGAATGACTCATTAATTCAAAGTCACATTCCCCTCCAAAGGACTGCACTGATGAAGTCTAGGGTACACTGTGTCAAATCCAATGCAGCCGAGCTTCAAGGAGTCTTTTTCATGCATGTACATATCTTTGCATTACACTTTACATATAAAATTGAAGAAGTCGAGTCCGTTATAGATCTTGGCAGTACACATTCAAGTGGAGAGACGTTCAACCCTTTGAAGAGAGGTAATGCTGCCGGCATTGATCTGGACTCAGTGAGAGCTCATTAGGCTAATCTGAATTTTAATTTACCTCTGGGGGCAACGTCCTTACTTTTGATCCTAAATGACAGCTAATGCTTTTCACCTTGTGACCAACGTCATTATTGTGTCTACATGTTCTAGCTCTCATACAACCCAGAATACACACACACACACACACACACACACACACACACTCACACTCACTTACGGATCTACAAAGACATGATCAAAGGTTCTTTTGGCAGGTTTAGACCAAACAGGAAATCCATTACTACATGTTGAATTGAACTAATGGATCTTGCTAAGTGCATGTGTACACAACGATGCTTTATTTACTTTTTACCACATACTCCAGGAAAACAAAATTATATACTATATAGCTTCATTTTAGCCCACAATTCAATTACAATTATCTGTCTATTTCACAATAAATCAGTGTAAAATTGCTCTGTGGATGTACATCTCTGACTGAACTACATCTTCTGCAAATGTGAAAATGAATTGCCTGGAGCTCTTAGCAACCACAGCGTGAGGTTTTTACAGGCTTCCACTAGTCCATAACGCTGCAAATGAAAGTTGATAAAGTAAATCCATTCCTTAACAAGCCATTTCCCGAGGTTTCAGCCTCAGTAAAATCACTCAGACAGATACAATTGGGTTTTAAATATGTCTTCTCCTGTCAATCACGGGGCGTAAAAGTGAAGTAACAAAGTGCAGCTGCCAAAGGTTATTTGTATAATGTCTTGCAGATTGATGGGCTTCTCACATCTCGGCAGGCATTTAAACACACTATATTCTTTTGCTTTCCTTCTTTTTTTGAAGATCAAGCTAACATAATGCTTCATGCAGCCAACTTTCTCATTAGCCGTGCTAGAAACTATAATTTTCATGTTCTGCGAGCTTCATTTCTGACCCACGCCTCCACACAGCTCCCTTCTGCTTCATTTGTCTAACGCAGGTTTAATATCTCCCTCCCTCGCTCCCTCCCTCCCTCTCCCTCTCTCTCGCTCGCTCTCTGCCCACCTGCATCAGTGCATCTCCTCTTTTTAACTGGAATACAGATAAGAAAATGTACTGCAGTGAACAAAACAGAAGAAATTCACTTTGGTTGTGTGTTTGCAGGGCACCAAAGCACTGGCAGTTCCCCTGGTAACCAACACTTCAATACTCAGGCTGAACCTGCGAGATAATTGGATGGAAGGAATGGGCGGAGCTGCTGTAGCCGAGATGTTAAAAGAAAATTGTTACATTACAGGTGGTTTTCTCCATTTCACTTTTTTCCCCGCAAAAGTCCCCCCCCCCCACTCCCACGCATACGCCACTCTCACTCTAATTATACGTCATATATATCTGGGGTCCGCGTTTAATATTAGTGCAGTTCAGGGATGCTATGGAGGGATCTATGGAGAATGACTCCTGTGAGTCATGCGGGCTTTAAACTGCCTTTGTCATGCACCACTGTTCAACTTTTAGGGGTAATCCAATTTTATGAATATAATGCAGTATAACAGATTATTAGCCAACGTATATTTTAGCTGATGCTGCAGCAGACATTAGCCGACACAGCATTTTAATGGAAGCCTATTTTTCAAATGAATAGATAAACAAAAATAAAAACTCTGAAAAGTTAGAGATGAGTTGTCATTAGTTTTGCAAAAACCATAGCATTGGACAAAACAAAAAAGTTCCGAGCAGATGATGGTGCTTAATGAAAAGCTTTTGAATCATTCAGATTTAAGATGAAGTGCTCTGTATCTCTTCCCAGAGGGCATTTCCTCAAAACAGGGAAAATAGCATGTGAGAGTTATATGATTACAAATATTCACAATTTACCAACGAAGCCAAACTGACGAAAGGGAAGGAGTGACCAATACTAACTTTTTTGTGAAACACTCACTTCAGTCAGCTTCTCCTGCCACAAATTGTTCATTTAACCGGCCTTTTTCCATCCAAACATAACCTGTGTACCTGTGTGTTAATCCCAGAAGTGGATTTATCCAACAACAATCTTGGGGATTATGGGGCCAGAGCCGTCGCCGGCATGCTTAAGGAGAACAGCAGCCTGGTGAGCCTCAATCTGTCCGGAAACAACTTCACAGACTGGTCGGCTGAGCAGCTCGGCCCTGCGCTGATTGCCAACTCCAAGCTACAGCACCTCGACCTTAGCCGCAATGCTCTGGGAGAGCGAGCAGGTAGCAAAGCAATTAGTTAGATATAGTAACGGTCACATATTTTCTGTGAGGCCTTGCCCTTTCAAAGGATGGAACAGTACCCCTGGCTACCATTTTTATTAGGTTGATATTAAAGATCCACTCTGGAGATACATATTTTCACATACTTTGCATTAGCAGCACCAGATAACTGAACTTCAGAACCCAGAAAATAGAGATGTGAGGAATGAGATGACAATGAGTCATGTTTCTTTCTACAGATATCACTCTCTCTCTATCTCTCTCTCTCTCTCTCTCTCTCTCTCTCTCTCTCTCTCTCTCGCTCTCTCTCGTTGTGCTTTCTAACAGACAGTTTGCTTTTCGCACTTCAGTTTAATTTGGAACACTATACGAAAAAAGTATATAGACGCTTGATAAAACGCTTGCAGACACTAAATCATTACACCCAGATGTCGTTGTTGAACATCTCAGGCCTGACTAACATTTGACATTCCAGTTGATTGGCTGGTTAATGGCCGCCACCCTGCACTGCGCTCACATGGTGATTGCTGCTGACCCACAGCATCGTTGTATTGCACCAACACGGAATTCAGAGCATATCTATTGCATACGACTGTATCGATGATCGGAGCGACTTGTCAATCAGAAGGCAGCCACGCCCTAAAACATACCCTGTTCTGACACCATCATTTTCTAAATGATCATCATGCTGTAATGACACAGACTTGAAATTAGTGATTGAGATCATAAACTCATCTTCACAATGTTTACCAAGGTAATAAATCAAGTGAGAAGTAGGGTCATTTTCTCATATACTTCTATACAATCAGACTTCTTTTTGTAACCAGAGGAGTCGTCCCCTGATGGCCATTAGAGAGAATGCAAGTTGAGGGCACTTTTACATTGGCTTCACTTCTCAGTCCTCAAGGTTGCCCCGCCTGTTGCCTAAAAACGGCTGTCAACCTGGAGACAGCTGAGCCAGCGGCTAGCAGCTAACGGCGCTGACAGAGCTAACAGTGTTCACTTGAGGGGGAACCGGAGGGTGGGGACGGCGTTATTAGCAATAACCGCCCTATGAGCGTAGTGCAGAGCGGCAACCATTAGTTAACCGGTGGGGCACAACAGAGATACTCGCATGCACTATATGCACGCATAGACGGCCCGGCTATGTAAACAAAGCACATTTTACATTGCATTTGGTTGTTTGCTGCTATATTAATGCTCTGAATTTCAAATTTAGCCCCATTCAACTTCAGACTGTCAACAAATTTGGAAGCACGTTATTGTCTAAAATAAAATTGTATCCTGCAGCATTAAGATTTCCATGAATTTCCCTTAGAGCACAAACATATTTGGACAGATAGTAGTTGCTAAAAGCAGCTGTGTAAGCGAATGCAAAGTTATCTTTTCTGCCATATTAAATGATAAATGATGATAAATGAATATGCATTAAAGCCCTCTAAAACTGAGCAAATACTATTATGAGTGCAGTATAATTTAATATATGTGATTACTGGTATCTACTATCATTAGAATTTGGGAAAAACATTAGCCTTATCGCTAAGCAGTCACAGGACAGCAGGCAGCAGCAGACAGTGGCATTCAAAGGTCAAGAACATTTCGCCTTCATTAAAACCTCTTTCAATTATCATGTGGATGAGCTTTCCAACAGGCACCTTGCGGAAGAATGGCAAACCCGGATACAATGAGCATCTGATGTGGTAATTCAAAATAACTGTCTGTGGGAAAGGGGACACCACCTTGTCTCAGTGTCATGTGTGCGGCTATGATTCATCCCCCCATATTCAATTTTATTTCCTCCACTGCTGAAATATCAAAGGACATCCTAGTGCTTGTTGAGCGCACTCTTCCATACGGTAGAGAGAAAGTATACCAATCAAACACTCTGACATTCATGCTATGGTTTTATTGCTTTTTCCATCATGCACAGTAAGAGTGGTTTTTTCTTCTATTATTATGAACCGCTGAGTGCTGTGCACATTCTTATCCTTGGGATAAAGTGGGTGAGATGATGATGGGGATGGTTCTCTTTGGGTCTTCTGCCTCTACGGCCCTCACTCACTTGTGCTTTTAGGCTGTGATAACACACACATACACCATCTCAGTGAAATCTACTGTGGATGAAACACATTGGTCCCAGAGAGTGTAGAAGTGAGTATTTGATTTTGAATAAATACTTCTTATCAGACTTTCTTACCACTAAAATATCTTTCATTTGAGATTTTCTTCCCTGGCATCAGTCTGAATGTGAAGGATTTTCCAAAATCAGATTTCTACTATTTGAGAAATTGTCACAATCGCTTACAAACTGACTTATAATAATGGTTTATACTTTACTTAAATATTTTATGTGTGTCATAAATTGTCCTTATTTGTTTCCATCCCAAGGCAAAAACCTGGGAGACTCTCTGTCAGAGAACACAGGGCTGAGATCACTAAGTCTGGCCTGGAACTGCATTCGAGGGAGAGGAGCTGTGATGTTGGCCAATGGCCTCGGGGTAATACAGCCTGAAATCAATGTTTGAAAATATTAAATTACTTTTTTAACTCAGGGAAGACAAAAGAGGATCTACAGGTAATATACAGTGAAAGGAAATAAATGAAAGAATCATACAAGTCAAATTTAGAACTTTGCTTATGTCAGATTGAATAGCACTTTTTAAAACCAAATTTGGCCATACATCTTGTATCAGTTATGTAAACCCCATCACATAATTATTTATGGGCATGAATATCCTGCTACACCCTCCACTCCTCTGGGAAGGCCTTCCACAAGCTTTTTGAACATGGCTGCAGGGATTTGCTCGCCTTCAGCCGCAATATCATCGGTGGGGTCGGACACTGATGTTGGCCGATAACGCCTGGCTCACAGTCCAGTTCCTCCCAAATGTTTGGATGGGGTTGAGATCAGGGCTATTTGCAGGCAGGTCAAATCCTTTAACACCAAACTGGGAAAACCATTTCTTCATGGAACTGCCTTTGTGGAAGAGGCCGTCGTCATGTTGGATAAGGAAAGTGTCTTACCCAAACTGTTGCCGCAAAATTGTACTACTGTCTGAAGTATCATCACATAGTGAAGTGTCCCGTTCTCTGAACTATATTCTAGTGATACTGTTTTGAATTTGTAAACAAAACATGCATATTAAGTTTAATAATATGATTGAGGAAGATAGTTTATTGTATATCATAACATGGCTATTTTGCTTATCCCAGTGGTCAGGTATTCATTAATCCTCTCACAGCAGGAGAGACAGAGTAGAAGCAGTTTATCTTAATGACCAAGATGATCAAGGGGACGCCGATCAGTAAGCTGCACTGCCAGTTCTGATTGATTATAGTCTGAGAGGCTGATTACATCACTTCTAATCAAGGTCTTCCTTTGGTCCTCGGTTAATCATCTTAGAGATCGTGTTCAAGTTGTACTTGCATCAGAAATCTTTACCAAAGACTAATTATTTTCTGTTTTTTTGTTTAGGGAAACATTTTCCTCAGGACAGTGGATCTGACATTTAATGGCTTTGGTAAAGAAGGAGCCATTGCTTTAGGACAGGCTCTGAAAGAGAATGCTATTTTGGAGGAGTTGAATGTGAGGTACAAGGCTTTGTTCTCTTGGTATCTGGTAATCAGATTATTTTTCACTGAGTTAAAAGGGACAAAGGTTGGAAGTTCAGATCATTCTTTCGTAAATCAAAAATTTGAGTTTTACCTTGTTTGAAAAAACTAACTAATAAATCTAATAAATCTTAAACAATGTTTTTTTTTTTAAAGCTTTACCATAAACAAAGTTCAAGCAAGTCAGTTTCTTCAGCCTCTCTTTTAACTTCTCAAGCAAAACAAAGCTTGCTTCAGAAATTCCCAGTCATTTGTGCTACATGGATGAATAATGCCTTTTAAAAAATAACACTTTATGATTGCTTCCCTCACACTCCAACACAGTTTTTTTTTTGTTCTCTCCATTTTGTTTCTCACCACAGTAGCAACCGAATACCCCCTGAAGGAGCTATCCACCTAGCCATGGGCCTCAAAGTAAACAAGACAATCAAATCCCTGAATGTAAGATGTTGAAAGATTGGTTCTAGCTTCAAAGACAATGGGGAGCATCAGTGGATAAAATGGGATAACTAAATGGATCACTGTACTTTGTTTTAATGTCTTAATGTTTCTCAGGGGCTCATCTTAACTGCCTGCAACAAGTCACTGATAGAAAAGAAGTTATGGTGAAGATGGACATTGAAATTGAGTTACAGCTTGAGCATTTAAAATTGATTAAATTAGCACTCCTGCATTGAAAATAGAGTTTGGGTGTTTGGTGAAAGTCTGAAAACTCACTATGATCTGGAAAACCTAGGCAGTTCAAGATTTAAATCAGTTGGTGAAAAGTACCAAAGTTCAAAGACACAATCCAATTTGCATTTGCATTAGTGGCAGCTAATTACTGACATTGTTGTCAATTGCTTTTTTTCTTCTTTTTCTTCTGCATCTAGTCTATTTCTATGTTTATTTGTTTGATATAGACAGTAAATCACACTAGTGTGTGGATGTGTTAAAAGTAGTCTATAATTGCTTGCTGGATAGCTGCTGGTCAGTTCTTAAAGGAATAGTTTGACACTTTACTTGCTACCTGAAACATGCTTACTTGCCAAGAGAAGATCCGTACCATGCATATCTAAATATGAAGTTACTGCTAGCAGTCAGTTAGCTTAGCATTTTTGCACTTCCGGTGTAGGTACTACTCGGGGTCCTGCTTTTACAGATGACGCTCACACATTATGATTGGCTGAATGTTGGAGAGATCAAACTGTCTCGCATGGGCGCCCATAAGTGCTGCCCCTATTCTGCGTCTGTTTGGCTATACCTTTCCAGTTACTGAACGCTAACGTTAGCCTAGCTTTGATGCCATCCGGTGTTACAATCTAGCCATGTCCATGAAAAGAGCCGTTGTTCAGCATAGTGCGAAGGTAGGCTACCTGGTCAAACAAGCGGGAAGTTGTTTTTACAATTTCCATACACAATTTCATCTTTGAATTAACTTTTTGAGACGAGAAATCAACTGTGACGATTTTGAATACTAAATTATCTTTTTTCACTAAATAAAGGAAATAGAATTTGTTATTTGTGAGCTTTATTTGTTTGGGGGATTTTGCAACAAATGGACAGAGCCGGGCTCGCAGTTTCCCTCCGTTTCCTGTCTTTATTAACTCTCTGCCAGAACGCACATTAGTGTGTTTCCCAAAATGCTGAACTATTAAATATGGCTATGTCTAATAGGAGGCTTATTTTGAGATGACATAAGGAGAGGGAGTCAATTCTAAAACTCCATAATATCCTTAAAGTGTCTTTCATCACAATTTTAACAGAAATAAAGCCAAAGTAAAGAACCCAATCTGTGGCAGTCTGGACATATTCTTACATAATGTTTGTCTGTGACCAGATGGGGAGGAACCCCATCCAGAATGCTGGGTGCTATAGGATCCTAAAGTCTCTACAGGAAAACCCAGATTCAGCCATGGAGAAGTTAGACTTTTTGGTAACTCACATATTCCACCCCTCTAAGAGACTTTCTGTGAATCTTCTTCTTTTGAAACTTATTCACGCTCTTTTCTGTTTCACTCTCTCTAGGACATCACAGTGAACCAGGATTTCGAAGATTTGTATACGGCAGTGAAAGAAATATTCCCCGCGCTTGTAGTAAATCATGGGGGCAGAGTTGGCGCATTCAGAAAAGCAAAAGCGTGAAAAGCGTTACTGTAATTGCTGTACTTTTATGCCAGGAAAGATGAAACGAGTCTCGTGGACGTTTTCATTGACAGATGAACCAAATGATGGAGACATGCAAGGATATCATTTTTAAAAGATGTAATTTTTTGAAAAATTCCTCTGAATAAAATGCATTCATAGCAAATAAAACTTGTTAAATACCCAATCAATTTATTTAAGGTTATTCAGGGATAGTTTGAATAACACAGTACTGCATGTGTGCGTGCTTAAAATATAGTGTTAGAGTCATTGAACACAGGCATACAATACAGGTATTGAGTATGATTCTTTTTAGGTATGATCTGATTTGATGTTATATAATGTCAGTGGGTAGAATGATGGAGGGGATCAGAGAGCACCGCATTGTGTATGAAAAGATGTGAAAGTGGGTTGAACAAAAAGGATTTAAGTACTGCATGACTAGTCTAATAGAACCCGCTTTGAAAGAATGATCCACTGTTAGATAAGAGACCTGTTTACTGCAGCGAGACAACTCAAACACTGTTAGATACAGTAAGCTGTCATTTGGAGACATGTAGCGCTCCCACATACACCCAAAAATGATCTGCCATGACTGAGCCCAGTCATTTCATTGCATATTATTAAAGAAAAAAAAGCAACTTGAGTAATATAAGGCTACGTATGTATTTGTATAACATCATAGACATTGCTAAAGTATTATTGCTGTTTGGTGACATATAAATATGATATCCAAAGCATTAAGGATGCGAATTATTATAATAAAGTTGAATAAAACACAGGTGTTAATCATAGGCTACAACTGAGGCACTAAGCTGTTTCTGGTATAAGATTTCAAAACGTCTTTCAGCAACAAGGTAGTTTTTTTTCCTGTTAAGTTGCTCATTATCTCAACTAATCAGGTCTGATCGATTGTGCGCATTGATCCCTTTGTCCTGCGTCACAGAGCCACGCGTGTGTTTTTAAATCTCCGCTGGGCTCACCATTATAAATACATTTTACTTACTTACTTACTTACTTACCATTATCAGGGTGATCAGGGTTGGCCATCAATACATCACAGACGGGTCGAGTAAACATTAACCAGCCCAGTGTGTGTGTGTGTGTGTGTGTTCACGTGTGAGACCAAGTCTTTTACTTCACAGAGCAACATGGCGACGACTATTACCTCTGTGTGGGCTAAAGGGCAGAAGCTGTTCAAGTATTCTGTGAATCTGAACCAAGCGACCAGGTAAAGAAATTTACTTTAATGTAAGGAGCGCTGTTACAGTGATGCTGACGGTGCATTTTAAACTTGAAGAAAAATGTATATCTAAATGTGACTCTCAAAAACTAAAACATACTTAAACAGACTTCTCTGTGTTTGCTGTATGGGACATTAAACCAAGCTTTAACCTCTTTGTAACTGTCGCTTTTTCAGCCCTCACCTTATTAACTTCATATTAATATTTGTCTTTACTCAAGTGTAACACATTATATTGTGAGTCTAAATGATATGGTGAATCGATGCGTGCGTGTATTACATAATGCTCTGAGGAGTTGGGGTCATTAATAACAAAACAAACAGGCAGTTTGCCTTCTTTGTTTTTTTGCTGGACCTCTGAACTTTGTCCCATGAAGCTGACACTGAATGTAACCGACCTTATCTCTGCCTCCACACTGTATGCATTTCCTCTGTGGCTGGCTGTTTTCAAAAAACACTCATTTCTGGCTTGAATGCCAGGCCTATTTTTGTTGTTTTTTTTTGACAGGGAGCCATGGGAAATGCATTTCTAATTATAGTTCCCAATTAAAGTCATTGGCCCTTAAGAATATTAAAAAGAGAAATCTGGCTGACCTTGGAAGTTTGTGGATTTTAGAATAATAAATAAAGCTTTGGAAAATGTTTGTGAATCAAAAGACGGCCTTGAAAGTGACAAATATAAGTAAATAAATACACAATAGAGCTCCCAAATCCATAAGTGGGCATGTACCAACTATTCTCTTTGGGCTGCTCTTGGTTCAACACTTCACACCCGGTGAAAAAATTCACAAATTCAGATTAACGTTGACATTGATGCAACTTTAAAATGGTTTAAAAAAAAGTGAGTTTATAAGTAGCTATGAAGGTCATTTAAAAAAAGTGTGTTGGAGCTGTTTTTAACAATCTATATATACAGTATATATAGCTCTGTATATAATATTGAACTTATTTTAATATCAATTTGTTTTTGTGATTATGAGCCATAAATATGTAATGTATAATGTGGATAGTATAACCGGTGGGTTAGTCATTGTTTGCTTTAGTGCTCACTAACTTCAGGACAGTTCCTTAAACTCGTATTTCTCTGCTCTCTAACTTTGACAGACAGTTATTCATGTTGAAATACTAACTGGAGCTCCTTAGATTGTAACAATAGTTCTTAAAGTGAATGATATTCCCCTTTTATTTCACTCCAGAGTGGGTGAGAAGAAGTTTTATGCTGAAGACACAAGCAACGGCATTCAGCCCACTCACTCATACAGTATGCATGTTTTGTTTTTTTTTGTATCAAAGGATATTAGCATGACTATCTTTTAGCCCATATGTCACGCATATCTCCACCATCCTTTTAAGTTTTTATTTTTTTAATATCGACAACTTTTATGTTGTGGCTTTGAGCCTTTGTGAAACTTTCTTTTATCTTGTTTCTGTGTAGGAGTTTTTCAGAGAATGGCGACAAAGGCTGGCTCCGTTCCATATTTGAGCACAAAGTCGATGCCAGGAAAGATGCCCACTCCAACCTGCTGTCAAAGAGAGAGACCAGCAACCTGTACAAAATCCAATGTAGGCACAAGATCTTTTACTTACTTTTCAAGTGGCAGCGCATGTTCTTTAAAGCGTGAGGCTGCAGGAGGCTGAACACAAGTGAAGGTGATGCAGTCACATCATATCATAATGAAGGGGATTCTGTCTCGTGTCTCGACAGTCGAACATCCGTTTGTTCCTGAAGAAAAAAAAAAAGGGCAAAATAAATAATGTTCATTAAATTCAATCCGGAATGGCCTCAGTGACCTCAGAGAATAACTGAAAGTAACACGAGAAACAAACAGTGGACTGCAAATGTAACAAGTCCTTATCATACATGTGAAACGTATAGGCAGCAACAAGTTATTCTAGTGTGATGTAGCCAGTCTGTGATGTTTTCAAGGCGACATCCCACATTTATTTCTCCTGCTTTTCTTTAGAGTCTGTGGTGATAACTGTGTCTGTCTCTCGCAGAGAAATCTATCGTTCTTCGCAGGGCTTTGATCTTTTTTGGTGGCGTACGTCACACCATGTAGGGATTTCAATTTGAGCACTCTATCAGCCGTAGCCTATAACCTATTGAGAGCGAATCAGTTTTGTATATAGAAGTCTTCGCTGAATCGGAGTGTGAAATTACTTTGTTGAAGACTTTGATGGTTGCTTGTATTTAAAAATGAAGAAAAAAAACAAAAAAAAAACACCCATTTTTGAAAAGTCTGTCTGTCTCTCTTTTTCTTTTTCAGTTCACAACGTCAAACCAGAGTGCCTGGAAGCATACAACAGTCTAGAGTGAGTGTGTTCACTGCTTTAAAACATTCCCTGCATTAACTGCACCAGTCAGGTTAAGTTCTGTCAATACTATATTAAAAGAAACTTTATATACATCCATACAATCTCAGCTAATAAGCTTCCCACATTCACAAGATGGACATTATTCCATAGTATTCTTCAGAGTAATTTTGCGTAAAATTGAAGTAAGTTGGAGACTTGTGGACTTTACGCTCTCTGGGTGCCCTCTAAGTTGGTCGTTGTGGTGAAGTAACAGCATATTTATAACTGCTGCTGTCACACAATGTGTGAAGAATTTTTGCATCTTCTTCCGTGCTGCCCCTTTAGGGCCGAGGTGCAAAACAGGCTCCATCAGGACCAGGATTACCCATGTGAGGTGGTGGGAAGCTGGAATACCTGGTACGGAGAACAGGACCAAGCTGGTAAGCGGGAAGAAATGACAAAAAAATGGTGATAAGAGTCGCCTCTTGTTGCTCTTGTCTCTGCTTTTCCGTCTCAAGGCCTCATGAACGACACCATTTGATTCAAGTAGCTGGCTGTAAATTGTTTGGCAGAGCATCACAGAGAAATGTACTGACACTATAGCAGATGACTCACCTCCAACACTTCTCCTTGTACATATGATCATTTACAGTGTATACCATACATTAACAGCACTCGGTGACAACAAGAAGTGATCCCATGGTGAGGGAGGCGCTGTGCGTCTGTGTTGTGTGGGTGGCATCAGTCCTCACGCGGTGCTACAGTGACATCTGCTGGTTTGTTCCTCGCAGTGCATCTATGGCGGTACAGAGGAGGCTACCCATCGTTGACTGAATGTCTGATGAAGTTGGACAACAACAAGGTTGACTGAACTGTTTCTTGCTATTTTACTTTGTCAGACAGAATAGGAAGTTCAAGAAAAGGCTGATATTTTAAGTGCAGCTTAGAATATAATTTCACACTGCAATAGAAAAAGCACTGTGTAGTATATCTTTGTATATTCTTATTATACATTTTTTTTTTATCTCTCTTCAGGAGTACAAAGAGTTTCGGAGAGAGAGGGCTAAAATGTTAATTTCAAGGCGAAATCAGCTCCTTCTGGAGTTCAGTTTCTGGAATGAACCCGTGCCCAGACCAGGACCCAACGTCTATGAAATGCGAACCTATAAACTCAAGGTACCCACATATATTACACACATTACAATTGCATGACACGTGACAAGTATCTGAATATAGCTCCATTGATTTTATTTGAGTTCTAAGAGACTTTACACAGTTAATCAGTCAGTTCTCTCAGTTGTGTAACATGTATTTTTACTACAAATATAACACAAATGTAATGCCTCTCTACATAATAAGACTACAGATAACATACAGTTGCAGAGCTTATTAAACTCTAAGGGTTTACAAATGAAATGTTTTCTGAAGATCTCTATAACTGTTAGGAGTACAGCAATTGTCCTCTTATCTCTCTTTATCAGCGAGGCATATCTCAGCTTTTAGATCAGCTATTGACAAGACGCATTTTGACTGCATTGTTTTTGATAAACAAGACGTTGCAGCACACATTAATGCCAAGAGGTTTGCATGAATGGAGCAGCGCACCTGATAAAGTGGTTGAAAACACAGCCATGATAAAAATCTGTGTGCAACCAACGCTCTGTTCTTCCTGCATGTGGGCTCATATGTCACATTGAGTAGATTGATCTGTGTAAAATAAATAAGATATGAATGTGCTGTGGGTGAGACTGTGCTGGTTTATATACAAGCACTTTGGCTGATTAGGCTGTATGTGTACATGTAAAATAAGTGTCCTGTTTGAAGGGATCGTGGTGCAATTTATTTAATGTCCTATTTCAGTTCAAAGCTGTGTCAATATTTGACCTTGTGTGTTTCAGCCAGGAACTATGATTGAATGGGGAAACCACTGGTAAGGCTCAACAAGCTTCATTTTCCATCGTAAACATGAAGTATTATAGGTGTTCAGGTCATCATTACACTCCTGAAAATAAAATGAAATGTCTTACAACAGGGCGAGGGCGATCAAGTACAGACAGGAAAACCAAGAAGCAGTGGGCGGGTTCTTCTCACAGATCGGCGACCTTTATGTTGTTCATCATTTGTGGGGTGAGTGTGTAACGTTTTTTCAATAAAATTGACTTGACTCACCGTGTCAAAAAAACAAATGTATAACAACCTGAGACAATTGTGAATAGTCCAGATAAAGTAGTTTTACACTTGGCCACTTGTTTTTTTGTGATATGCAACCATGTCAATCTTTGACCTGTGTTTCAGTGATGTTGTATCGAGCAAACACAGTAGCATGGTTAGATGCTGATGTTGACATATGCTACATGAGTGTCAGAATGACTGGCCCCATTCACGAATGACAGCCTCTGACCCATAAAATAGGCAAATTAAATACCCATAACTATGTAAAGTGTTACCCAAATGTAGGCGGTTTTAAAGGGATTTGTATAACTTTGTATGAGTTTGCTTATAGCTATTTTGCCTCCTCTGTGTCTCGTCAAATTGAAAAAAGTAAACATTCGTTTGCATGTTTCTTTGGCTCCAGCTAAGGTTTAATAACCCAGTTGAACATTATTTGTGCTGCTAGAACAACAGTTTCTCTGAAATCAATTTCTTAAGAATGTTAAAGCTAAATGTTTTGTATGAGCATGGCATGAATTTATTCACACTTAATGTCATATACGGTTTGGTCAACTGTGTTTACAGCTTATGAAAGCCTCCTGTCCCGCAAGGAGACCAGGAACTCTGCCTGGCTGAAGGAGGGATGGGATGCAAATGTATATTATACAGGTAGGAGAGATGCAAACCAACCACACACATACTCTCAAGAAAAGAAATGCACCATTAAGCCAAAGGTGATTTAGGGATTTAGATCAATCAATGATTGAAGTTGTGCTTTACCTTCATTTGCTGTTAAAATGATAGCAATAGGAAGTCAGATAGGAGCTATGAGCTACATGTGAGAGTATTCAAATTGAATCAAGATGGAAATCAGATATTGTTGTTTACAATATCAGTGAGTCAACGGTTTAAAAAGACAACTTGTGTATTGAAATATAAAGTTTACTGGACTATCAGATGAGAGTTCAGGCAGAGATCAGTGCATATAGTCTGTGGAAAGGAACAACATAAAAGTATTATCTGGGAAAAACGTCTGAACAGTGAACATGATGCAATGATGGCATTCTAATGAACACACAATGCGTGTGCTGACCTGTAACACATTGTGGGAAATAATGGGAATTACATCATAATGGTCTGAAGTTGCAACTGGAAAAGTTATACTACGTGTGTGTGTGTGTGTGTGTGTGTGTGTGTGTGTGTGTGTGTGTGTG